CTACTACTACTACTACTACTACTACTACTACTACTACTACCACCACCACTACTACTACTACTACTACTACTACTACTACTACTACTACTACTACTACTACTACTACTACTACTACTACTACTACTGCAGCAGCAACAACAACAACATTTTATTTTACTTGGCCCTTGCGTGACTTTTTTTTACTGTGACACTGCCTAATTGCTGGGTATTAAAAATGGTTACTTTAAAAAGCTTGCAGAATGATAGAGAAAGGGGGTGACTTTGTGAGGGAGAGAACGAGTGACAAAGAGGGTCTGAGTGAGAGGGAGGGAGAGAGGGAGAGTGGGAGAGAGAGAGTAGACAAAAAGAGAGTTGGGGGTAGAGAGCAGAAATTATTGTTCTGCATACATTCATGTCCTGTAAATAGAACGGTTTGGTGTATCATTCATTATATCATGTAACTTTGAAATGTCTAAATGACTTTTGATTCCAAATAGAGGTTTAGAAAAAATTTTTTTACTGCTGCTACTACGATTGCCGCTTTTGGTACTGCCTTACCGTACAGCTAATTATAGCTAAGCGTGGTGCCCTCATACCTCTACAGATGTGCTATCTACTTCACTGAGACACTCCAATAGCCGTTATCGATTTCAGGCCAGACCTGGCGAGTGTCCAGTTTCAAACCGTAATTGAAATTCTTTGACTGGCTATCTTTTCTCCAGAATCTGCAAATTAACGGACGCAGGTGCTGATTGTATCTGGGCGGAGCGTTTCCACTGACGGTGGCGGATCTTTACAAGTGGCTGACGTGTCATACTATAGTAGAATGGAAGTCAATCCGCACCATTGTGCTTTCACCGCTGCCAACTATACACGTCTACTGTTTGAAACTCACACGCCGGAGATGACTTTGAATCTTTTAATGAAGTGGGAGGAGGTGGTGGATGGGGGGAAAAAAAGGGGGGGGGGGGTGCTCCAAGACACCACGAGGCTTCAGCAGACTGAGTACCTACCTCTGTGTTTGCAACCAGCCTGACTGGGGTTTTCCCCCCAGATCTGGGTTTTTATTTGACTCTTTGGGAAAATCTGGTTTAAAAAAAAAAATATATATATATCCTTATATAAAAGTGGTAAACGTTTTGTTTCGTAACTAAAAATTTTGTACATTTTGACAATTGGGGTTAGGGGGGGGGGGGGGGGTGTGTTTGGCTTATGTATTGCTTGGGTTTTTGTTCAACTTAGCTGAGTTTTTCAAAAAAATCCTATAGGCAGCCCTGAGCCTGAGATCTTGGGTTGATTATTTTACTTCTAGCCCTTCTTGGGGCAGTCACCATGGCAGCTAGACGCTCGCCTGTGGATCGAAAGGACGTTTTTCGGGTCCTGAAAAGGCCACGTTTTGTTGGAAAAAACATGACATTGGCTTTCAGGTTGACTCAGACTTGAGTGGGTACCAGGTGCAGTCCTGGGAAGTAAAGGTGGCTGGCGTGATGTTGACCACTTTAGCCATCAGGTGCCGATTGGTCTATAAAATAAGGGTCTAGCCCTATATGCCCTATACGCCTGAAGGCGTGGAAAAAGTAATTCACTGTCCTTCTTGGGATAAAGGTTTGAAAGTATGATGACCCATTTACATTTTAAAAACACGCAGCAGACGGAACAGAACAAAGGGGAAACATTTTTTTTCTCTCCAAGAAATGAAATCAGCGATTATTACTTATCTTGCATACAATAGTCAGAACAAACAAACAAAAAATTCACGAGAATACATAACTGTTTCCAGCGAGCCGTTAAAAATATCTAAGTGTGCACCACCCGGCCCGCGTACCGCCGGTGGGATGGGTATCCTTGATTTATGAATGCTCATTGTTCTGGTAGAGTAAGTGATTCTAGCAGACGATAACCCACAAGCCATGCAGGACTCAGTTGGGCGTTACCGCCTATAGCGACAGCCAGCGTGACTCCAGTCTTTGGTTACCACCGTTTCACTATCTGTGGATGTGTCGGATGACAGCAAGCCGAATCTGTATTTCTTCTTTATTCGCTCGATGGTGGTCGACACTCTGTGTTGTGGTTTTCAGCTAGGCTAAGATATAGCCACTTTTCGGCCCGACATATACAGTTTCAACAAACTTCTAATTAGTCGCTTTTTGCTTGTTTGAGGCACTGGATCTGTCGCCCACCCCCAGATGGTGCCCTGGAACCAGCATAGCACGCCAGAGAGATCCAAAGAGGCTCTGTCTCACTCATCATTTATCTCTGTATGAGGTACCTGCAGTAAAGCTATGAAAAAAATAACACGTAATAAGGTGTATGTTATTTTTACATTCTACGAGTACATTACAATCGACCAATGTTACCCAAACTGTTCTTAGCCGCCACGCGTTTTTTTAATTAAAATTTTCCCATGGCGCACTTAACCTAAGTGAAATTATGACTGTTCATATGTGAGAGATTAAAAACTCATCTTCGGAAATTTCGCGGGCCATGTGAAGAGGTCGCGGCTCCCTGGGGCGCTGCGGCGCACAGTTTATGAATCATAGCTATAGACTAAGACCATTGTAGCGATAAGCGTTTGTTAATAAATAATGAGAAGGAGTAGGGCGGGGGGGGGGGGGGTCAATCATTTTTGTCACAGATGATCTTCCGAGCTATGCTGTCAGACTGCCCAGCATCTGTTCTTTCGGTCTCCCTCTGCCTCTCCTCCTCTCCAACTTTCCCACCGTAACGATGTACTCCAGTTGTATTCTTCTCATGACATGACCAAAGAATGTGGATTGTCTCCTTCTGATGTGGGTAGTCAGCTCTCTTAGTGGGTCTTTTTTTTCTAGACATCTTTATTACTCTTTGTTTCTGTCTAGGCTAGTTTCATCATTCGTCTGTAATGCTCATAAGAACATCTTATCCAATATATCCCTGTCATTGAAGGTTAAAAAAGAATTCTTGCTTACTACATACATCCAGTTTTAGCATATAGCCGTGAGTCCTGGACAGTCGGTAGGCAGGCCAAACAATTTCTTGATGCGTCAGAGATGTGGTTTTACAGAAGAATGCATAAAATACATTGGACAGCCAAAAAGAGCATCCAAGAGGTTTTGAGAGAGGCGGGAGCCCGAAGACAACTAATCACAGACATCAGAAGAAGACATTCATCATTTTTCGGCCATGTTATGAGAAGAGGGAAAATAGAACATGTTGTGACCACTGGAAAGATCTGTGGAAGGAGGGATAGGGGAAGACAACGAGAGAAGATGCTCGACAGTCTTCTTGCATGGCATGGAGGTGTGTCGGCACATGATTTAAAACATACTGCAGGAGATCGCGGAATGGGGTGAGTCAAGGCACCTGATGAATGTGATGATAATGCTCATATCAGTTTCAGGGTCCCATGTGTGGAGGGGGGGGGAATAGACCCACACCGCCCCCACCCCCACATGTATGTCACTAAAGTCGACTAATTAGGGAAGTGTTTCTTTGGAAGTCGGGTCATCTGCTTAAGAGGTGAGGAACCAACAGTCTATCTACAAATAAGCCACATCTGTAAAACGAATGTGCACACAAAACTCAAGTTCTGAAACAGGACCTAAGTTCAGGAACAACCAGAACTTTCCACCAGAGTTGACGGCCGAAAACGCTATAAAGAAGATCGTCTATAAAATCACATCTCTGTGTCTTCTGCATAAATCTTAGCTAACCGGCTAACTGTCCGTGATGATATAACAATGCTACGTGACTGTTTTCAAATATAATATAAACAAAACTACCAACACATGAAAAGATCTTAGGTTAAAGCAAGAGGCCGCTCAAGGAGGAAATGGATTTCTGACATTAAAGAGCTTTTACATCACACGGAATGACAGTTGCCAATGCTGCCCTTCATCGACACGGAATGACAGTTGCCAATGCTGCCCTTCATCGACACGGAATGACAGTTGCCAATGCTGCCCTTCATCGACACGGAATGACAGTTGCCAATGCTGCCCTTTATCGACACGGAATGACAGTAGCCAATGCTGCCCTACATCGACACGGAATGACAGTAGCCAATGCTGCCCTACATCGACACGGAATGACAGTAGCCAATGCTGCCCTACATCGACACGGAATGACAGTAGCCAATGCTGCCCTACATCGACACGGAATGACAGTAGCCAATGCTGCCCTTCAAGAAATGGATAGCAAACTGTTCCTCCTCACAATGCTTAACAGCAGAAATTAAAAGTAATGATGATATAAACATATGAAAACACAAACGACTGTGTGATATAAAGTCATCATCGTCTTTTGATTAACGCCGCTCTCATCACGGTCCGATAAAATGAAATGTGATCTCTGGCCAGCTGTCCCGCCTCGTGCACTTTCCTAGCCAAAGTGTCACTTATGTCCTGTAGCCTGCTAGTATTATAACCGACTGTCAGTCAGTTGAGGTTCAAACCTCACGGATCGCACCATAACTGCTCTACTCCTATGCCCGTGGAAGTCACACAAAATGTCATTTACTATCCCTTGTAAAACTGGTGATTAACTTGTAAGCCCCAGCAACATCTTGAAGCTGGCACACGCAATGTAAATACACAAGGGTGCTGTCAGAAGTGCTGGTCCTAAGTCTCCCACCTAACTTGCACCTCACTGTTGATACAGACCAGTCACAACTACAACAGTCAGCAGTACACGCAATACAAACTACAACAGTCGGCATTACACACGCAGCACTATGTAAGTACACGCCATTTCGAATCGAGAATCAACCATTTTTAGTGCCATTCACAACACACAGCCCTCGCGAGCATAGAGGGAGGGGGGGGGGGGAGGTGTTCCGAATGAAATATGCAGGTCACAGCGTCTAACCAAGTCCTCAACACAGTAGCTGAGCTACAAAACCTCTCCTTGTCCAGAAGTGAAGAACTGCGTCAGCAAACCACTCGTAGAGATACACAGAGTTTTTCCAGAGCGTCACTAGTCATCCGGCTTTATACGATATTGTACCGACACTACTGACAGTTAAGGTTTCTTGTTTGTAACAGTTGCCGGCAGTGAGCAGTGCCGCACGAAGGAAGCGGTTCAGACCATTCAGAGGGCCTGCACAAAGAATGAAGAAGACATGCTAGCAGCCGAAGGTGATGCCGATTATGCGGAAGTCTGCAGGTGAGTACCCGTTGGTGACGGTTGCTTGCTGGTGTCTTCTGTAGACTGTGTGATGGTGCAGCATCGGGACCGTGTGGACTCATTCTGGTCTCCGGGGTCATCCTAGAGACAGGTTCACAACCGGTGACCTGGTTAACTTAGAAACGATCGACTTTTTCTTCGAGATATCATAGGGAATGACTAGGGGTTTCACTGGACAGTACCATATTGTCGGGGGGGGGGGGGGGTGTTATCATTAAGTAAATAGCGATTACTACAAAGCCTAATCATAACCCCCTACTAAGGGATGTTCTGTGGAGGATTTCCCTACCAAATCTCAAAGCCGACGAGATGTGGTCGTAGAAAATTAAAATACAATTTGAAAATTTAAGGCGCGGCTTTTCAAAGACGTGCATCTTACTGTGAAAATCTAATGCATAGCCCTGATGAGACCACTAATCGATTGCAACTACTACATGTACACGAAATTCAAGATACCTTTTGGCGAGAAAGAACAACAGTGGAACGTAAACTGTACGGACCACTGAATGAACTAACGACGACAGTGAAATTTATACTAGAGATAAAATTACTGATGTAGACAACTTATTTCAGGCGAACGAAGAAAGAAGAAGGAGGAAGAGGAGGAGGAGGAGAAGAAGAAGAAGAAGAAGAAGAAGAAGAAGAAGAAGAAGAAGAAGAAGAAGAAGACTTGTTTGGAGTAGGAATTCATATCTGTGACTTTGGTATATTGTAAAGTGACAGCCTGAAAATGCTTTTAGAGAAACAGCGAAAATTGCCCTTAGGTAAGTGGTGTAATGTCAACGTGCTATGTCATGCCAAAAGAGATAACGCCTGATGTCGTGCTAAGAATAAGAAACACTTCTTCTTTTGTCGTCCCACTGATATCAGCTTGTAGCCCATTTTCGTATTTTCTGTATTTGTCTTGGGCTTCTCGGATGGCTTGGGCGATGGGTTTTGTGTGTGCAGGTTTCAGCTGCACCATTTATCCGTCATTTTCTTGGTCTTTCCCTTGCATTGCTTTCAAATGTTCTCCTGTAAAAAGTCTCATATGCAGTCTCGTCTGCCTGAATACTCACTAGATGTCCGAACCATTTCATTCTTTGTCTTTCAACATATTCCAGACATGGTCTTATTTAAAATTTCTGTTAAATGCTGGCATTCACAACTCTGTCCCTTCTTGTGTTGCTAGTCACCTTACAGAGACAGCGAATTTCATGAGTAGTTATATTATATTCTAGTGCCCTATTCATTGTCCATGTTTGGCACTGATAGTGTTGAATTCTAGGGCAGACTCTTGCAGATAAGAAACACTGTTCTTCCATTTCTCAGTCTATGTCACTATAATGGATGAGCGACTTCTTCTCGAGACCTGTTCTGTCATCGTCATATTTTGAAGAGGCATCAGGTGAGAACCTTGGTGTGTGCTATACATATGCTGGTATTTACAGATTCAGATATTCCATCGATCCATCGCTTGCGTGGTCGACCTCTAGTGATGCCTCCTTTATGTTTAAGTGACAAGGCTTTCTGTAATGCACTCTCTCGTGGTAGTCATAAGTCCAGACCATTTGATCTGCTGTCTCTTGATGCAGTTTAATACTGTTTCCGTCCAAACTTATTTCCTGATATCATTTATGATCTTGTTTCTGGTAGATACGTTCAAAATTTGCGTAGACTTTTTATTTCTGTTGTTTCGATTTGTATTTGCTCTTTTGTTGTTAATGTCCAAGTTTTGGGCCTGGTAACGGTAACATTACTGTATCGAATTGTAATCTTTTGGTGTCAGTTACTACACGTTTCTTCTGCAGAATTGGTGACATCAGTCCAATAATTTGATTTGCTTTGTTACATCTTTGTGTTCTATCCCTGTTTCCATTGTGAATGAATGATACATGAAAATAATTGTGTCTGCAGACAGTTTCCACTGCTGATGATATGTGCGGCGACGGCACTCCCTCAGTGTTATAACGACATTGAGAGGACGTTTTCCATATATGGACACTCCCCGTATTCCTGTGAACTGACCCCTGAAACAGTGAGTTCAGTATTTGTAATTTAAACTCACACTCTCGGTGTGCAGTCTTTTTCCTATACAGTCTCTTCTATGTTCATTCTCCTTTATGTTCAGTGTCTTTGTATGGTATTGTTTATTTCCCGTTGAATCTGCTAAATGTTGATTCTGCTCGTGTTGTCACATTTATGTTCATTCACTTTTGAGTCTTTTCATATTGTCTTCTTCGTTTTGTCATACTTATGTTGAGTCTGTTCATATTGTCTCCTTTGTGTTGTCATCTTTGTTTGGTCTTTTCATGTTGTCTTCTTCATGTTGTCACCTTTATGTTGAGTCTGTTGATGTTGTCTTCTTCATGTTGTCAATGTTATGTTGAGTCTGTTCATGTTATCTCCTTCATGTTGTCAATGTTATGTTCAGGCATTTTAATGTTCAGCCTGTTTGTGTTTTCTCCTTCATGTTGGGTCTTTAAATTTATGTGCGTTCATTTTGATTCATGTAAAGTCTTATTTGTGTTCAGTCTCTTTGTGGAAAGTCTTCTTCCTGTACAGCAGAGCTAGTCAACTGGTGGCCCCCGGACCAAATCTGGCCCACATAGCAAATGGCCCACGGAGCATTGCCAGTTGCATTGTATTAATGATCTTTCTACGCCTCTGGCCCGTGACTATCCCCAGATCAAAATTTTGGTCCATGAGTAAACTTTGTTGATAAGCCTTGCTGCACAGTTTCATTCTTGTAGAGTTTCACTAGACTGCAAGGAGTTAAAAAATAGTCGTTTCTTAGTTGACACACAGAAAGGTCACTGTTGCTATACACCCTTTTAGGGTATCCTGTTTTACCTGTTTCACATGGTAGCTTTAGGGTACCCTGTTTTATAAGGTAGCTTTAGAGTGTCCAATAAACTCACCACAAAGTGTCAAATAAAGTTGCCAGTACACACCACAAGGTGTGAAATAAAGTTGCCAGTACACACCACAAAGTGTCAAACAAGGTTGCCAGTACTCACCACAAGGTGTCAAATAAGGTTGCCAATACTTACCACAAAGTGTCAAATAAGGTTGCCAATACTCACCACAAAGTGTCAATTAAGGTTGCCAGTACTCACCACAAAATGTCAAATAAGGTTGCCGTACTCACCACAAAGTGTCAAATAAGGTTGCCAATACTCACCACAAAGTTTGAAAAAAAGGTGCCAGTAATCACCAAAAAATGTCTAAAAAGGTTGCCAGTACTCACCACAAAATGTAAAAAAAGATTGACAGTACTCACCACAAAGTGTCAAATAAGATTGCCAGTACTCAGCACAAAGTGTCAAAAAAGGTTGTCAGTACTCAGCACAAAGTGTCAAATAAGGGTGCTGGTACTCACCACAAAATGTCAAATAAGGTTGCCAGTACTCATCACAAAGTGTCAAATAAGGTTGACAGTACTCACCACAAAGTGTCAAATAAGGTTGCCAGTACTCATCACAAAGTGTCAAATAAGGTTGACAGTACTCACCACAAAGTGTCAAATAAGGTTGCCAGTATTCACCACAAAGTGTCAAATAAGGTTGCCAGTACTCATCACAAAGTGTCAAATAAGGTTGACAGTACTCATCAGAAAGTGTCTGTACAGTAGCACAGAAAAACAAATTATGCCTGAAAAAGGTGACAGTACTGCATATTATTGTGTTTAAAAAGTGTTAGTTGTGTATTCTTTACAGTACGTTGCAGAACCAACCCCAGCATCTTTTGGCTGATGTGGTTTTTCTAGGCAAATTTACATCCAGTAGTTTGCCATTGCTTCTGGACGGTCGGCTTTTTGATACCACTGCCGAAACCAACGCAAGGCAGAAGGCCCGCAGCTGGGATTGAACCCACCACCCTGGCATTACAAAGCGCGTTCGCAACACCTAAGCCACAGACGCAGACTATTATTATGTACCGTCCGAAAAAAAATCCCTGGCTGTATGGTTAAACCGAACTTTGGGGTGGGTGGGAGGGAGGAGGTTTGATCTCATTCTTGAGATATTAGTCCTACAGACTGCAGTTCTGGAGCGGGGAATAAACACTGAAAAATGATGCTGTAGAGAACTCGCTTCATCAAGAGAACAAACCGCAGAATCCTGAGAAATTTATAATGTGGATGTTTTTGTTGACAGATTAAAGAATTACAAGAGATAGTTCGGAAAGGAACACAGGTGGAAGAACTAACAACATCAACCATTGATACAACTACCACATCAGTAGAACAAGAGGAACAATATGGTAGAACATTTCATAGCATCCTGACATCGCCTGCTTCTAGAGGCTCCATGAATGTGACGCAGAAGAAGACTGAAATACATCCTGGAAGTAAAGAAAAACACAAAGGGACCAACACACACGGTCAGTTGATCTTTTTAGATCTCTTGTCTGCCTTATTTTTATTTCTCTGATTATCATCACCACAGTCCATCATCATCACCATCTTCAAGTTTTGTCATCATCATCGTCATCATTATTATTATCATCAACATCATCATCATCACAAACATCACCTAATGCCATCTTCACAGTGAAGTATAAAAATAACAAACTTCAGCCATTTCCTGCCATGAGCCTTGGTTGTACATTCTGCTGGACTGTGTCCTAAATCCATGATCTGGGACACTGGCCCAAGAATGCAGAATAGATCTAATTTCTTTTAGCAAGCAAGTTGTAAAAGGCGAATAACTTAAAGAGTTTGCTTAAATCAGATGTGTTGGGCTGATATTGCAGCCTAGCTGTGAACCACAACACAGTGTGTCAGCACTTTTTTAACGTTGCTAGCAGCAGTAAAGAGAAGAAGCAGAAGAAAAAGAAGAATCCTGATAGTATCTGGATGTTATACATGAAGATTGTCATCTCTGACCCTGTCATCTCAGACATTGTCATCTATTACTCTGTCATCTCTGACTGTGTCATCTCTGATTGGGGGAGAGGGGGATTAACACACATCCCCCCTCCCCCCAATAAGCATACCGTAAAAGATGACTAGTTAGGGATGTTTCCTTTAAAGTCAGAGTGCATCTGTATGAGAAGCAAGGAACCAACAGTCTGCATTCATATAAGCCAGATCTGTAAAGTGGATGTTCACACAAAACACAAGTTTTGAAATAACACTAAGTCCAGTGGGTGAATAACTAGAACTTTCTGTTAGAGTTTACAGTTCATGAACATGAAGAAGAAAAAGATATCTGATCCTGGCAAAGTAATAAAGGATCTATATCTGATAGGAAGAAGCCTGCAGAAACTACAAACTGTGTCTGTTGTGAGATTGCAAGAGAGTTATAACAGATGTCTCACAGTGATGGTAAACAAGCAGCTGCCTAAGCTTGTATTTACTGTTTAAAGGGACAGCCTTGTACACAAGACACCGGCTGGATTAACCCATGATGACAGCCTTGTACACAAGACACCGGCTGGATTAACCCATGATGACAGCCTTGTACACAAGACACCGGCTGGATTAACCTATGATGACAGCCTTGTACACAAGACACCGGCTGGATTAACCCATGATGACAGCCTTGTACACAAGACAGCAGCTGGATTAACCCATGATGACAGCCTTGTACACAAGACACCGGCTGGATTAACCCATGATGATAGCCTTGTACACAAGACACCAGCTGGATTAACCTATGATGATAGCCTTGTACACAAGACACCAGCTGGATTAACCCATGATGATAGCCTTGTACACAAGACACCAGCTGGATTAACCCATGATGATAGCCTTGTACACAAGACACCAGCTGGATTAACCCATGATGACAGCCTTGTACACAAGACACCGGCTGGATTAACCCATGATGACAGCCTTGTACACAAGACAGCGGCTGGATTAACCCATGATGACAGCCTTGTACACAAGACAGCGGCTGGATTAACCCATGTTGACAGCCTTGTACACAAGACACCGGCTGGATTAACCCATGTTGACAGCCTTGTACACAAGACACCGGCTGGATTAACCCATGATGACAGCCTTGTACACAAGACACGAGCTGGATTAACCCATGTTGACAACCTTGTACACAAGACACCGGCTGGATTAACCCATGATGACAGCCTTGTACACAAGACACCAGCTGGATTAACCCATGATGACAGCCTTGTACACAAGACACCGGCTGGATTAACCCATGATGACAGCCTTGTACACAAGACACCAGCTGGATTAACCCATGATGACAGCCTTGTACACAAGACACCGGCTGGATTAACCCATGATGACAGCCTTGTACACAAGACACCAGCTGGATTAACCCATGATGACAGCCTTGTACACAAGACACGAGCTGGATTAACCCATGATGACAGCCTTGTACACAAGACACCGGCTGGATTAACCCATGATGACAGCCTTGTACACAAGACACCAGCTGGATTAACCCATGATGACAGCCTTGTACACAAGACACCGGCTGGATTAACCCATGATGACAGCCTTGTACACAAGACACCGGCTGGATTAACCCATGATGACAGCCTTGTACACAAGACAGTGGCTGGATTAACCCATGATGACAGCCTTGTACACAAGACAGCGGCTGGATTAACCCATGTTGACAGCCTTGTACACAAGACACCGGCTGGATTAACCCATGATGACAGCCTTGTACACAAGACAGCAGCTGGATTAACCCATGATGACAGCCTTGTACACAAGACACCGGCTGGATTAACCCATGATGACAGCCTTGTACACAAGACACCAGCTGGATTAACCCATGATGACAGCCTTGTACACAAGACACCGGCTGGATTAACCCATGATGACAGCCCTGTACACAAGACACCAGCTGGATTAACCCATGATGACAGCCCTGTACACAAGACAGCGGCTGGATTAACCCATGATGACAGCCTAAATGAGTGTGTTCCCTGCCTGCCTGCCTGCTTACTGAGATCAATAACATTAGTCCTCCCATGTTTGTGTCAGACAATTCTTCTTCTTCTACTTCTACTGCCCTTTATACCCCAGGGGAGCATAGGCCTTCATCCAACTCACCCCTTGTTGTTGTTCTACCCTGTGCTGTCACAAGCAACTCAACCCATGTTGTTGTTCTACCCTGTGCTGTCACAAGCAACTCACCCCATGTTGTTGTTCTACCCTGTGCTGTCACAAGCAACTCACCCCATGTTGTTGTTCTACCCTGTGCTGTCACAAGCAACTCACCCCATGGTTGTTGTTCTACCCTGTGCTGTCACAAGCAGCTCAACCCATGTCCTCCGCATTTTTTAACTTCATTCTCCAAGTGTTTTTCCTCATCTGCTTTTATTTCTTTGTTCCTGCTGGTCCCATTTTAAAGATATTTTAGTTGGTCCAAAGGGTTAAAAAAAATGGGGGGTAGGGGGGTCTACCTTTTGCCTCCCAACATGCATGCAGTAAAAGTAGACTAATTAGGAGTGTTTTGTTATAAGTTGAAGTTTACCTTCCAGAGAGGTGACAATCTGCATACAAATAGGCTGGATTAGTAAAATTGATGCCCCGAGTGTTTGTGGCAATGTCCCGAGTGTTTGTGGCAATGTCCCGAGGGTTTGTGGCAATGTCCCGAGTGTTTGTGGCAATGTCCCGAGTGTTTGTGTCAATGTCCCGAGTGTTTGTGGCAATGTCCCGAGTGTTTGTGGCAATGTCCCGAGTGTTTGTTGCATTGTCCCGAGTGTTTGTGGCAATGTCCCGAGTGTTTGTGGCAATGTCTGAAGTGTTTGTGGCAATGTCCCGAGTGCTTGTGGCAATGTCCTGAGTGCTTGTGACAATGTCCCGAGTGCTTGTGGCAATGTCCCGAGTGCTTGTGGCAATGTCCCCAGTACTTGTGGCAATGTCCCCAGTGCTTGTGGCAATGTCCCCAGTGCTTGTGGCAATGTCCCCAGTGCTTGTGGCAATGTCCCCAGTGCTTGTGTCATTGTTCCCAGTACTTGTGGCAATGCCCCGAGTGCTTGTGGCAATGTTTCGAGTGCTTGTGGCAATGTTTCGAGTGCTTGTTGCAATGTCCCGAGTGCTGTGATGCTATTCTTAATTCAGCTTAGCTCATTAACTGCCACTTTGATATCTGACACAGTCTATTATTTTCTTTTGCAGATGATGGGAGTGTAGTTATGTACAGTATTCCCACCGTGGCTCTCCTGTTGGTAACAACACCATTGCTGCGATGGTCAATGTCTTGACCAGGTTGCTCGCCCACATAAAAACACTTCTTTACGATGTTGTTTATCGCTGCTGAATATGTAACAAGTTATATTCAGATTAAAAAATATACCCGAGCTTTCCTGCAACTGTTTTTGTTAGATGCTGTTTCCAGGCAAGAAAATCCCTCCCAATGTCATTCCAGATTTTGAGAATTTGCCAAGGCATGAATTTTGTGGTATTTTTGACTGAAAGACTCGGATTGTTTGGGAATTTATATACTTGTAAGAAATGGATTGTTTGGGAATTTATATACTTGTAAGAAATGGATTGTTTGGGAATTTAACTGATGAACTGGCAAGACATGGATTGTTGAGCAGTATAAACTTTATTCTGGGAATGTGTAGAACTGTTGGGTAATTTAGACTATCCACATAGTAGATAATGAATTTGCAGCAATTTAGAGTAGTTGCATACAGAGTTCTTGAAAATAAGAATAAATGAAAACGTATGTAAGTTTGTATAAGGGATCCAGCCTTTTCCGTTACTGTGTATGACTTCACAGAAGGTTAATATACACATAACAGGATTCCATGGAAAAACAAATTGTTTTTGGGGGGTGGGGGTGGGGGAGCTGGTTCAGAAGTACAGAAAGGAAGCAACCCACAACTCAGTTATTGTGACCTGACATGTTGTAGAGTTCTGCCACGCATTTGATTTTTTTGGACTGACTAACTGACTTTCTACCCCACTAGGACATCACACAAGCGATAAACACCCGATGACACAAAGTGCCACCATGCGGATGAGAATCACCGTGGAGAGGTCCCAGAAACCGCGTTCAGACAATTGGCCATATTGATGGCCTGCCTATATTGCGGCCCCTGGCAAAAGCCAGAGTGGGGCTTCAAATTAGAAAAAATTATGTCCTGGAAAGGACGTAAGTAAAACAATTTTTTTTTTATTCTTGAAGCCATATTGGATCAAACTGGAAAACAAATTATGTATAGATGATTTCTATGTATTCATTTCTGTGGTGGGCATTTTTTTTTTTCTTTTTCTGTTGTACATATGAAATGGGCCAATCACAAGGTTGTTTTTTGTTTGTTTTCATCAGCTAAGATCAAAAGTATCTGGACTGATATTTGTTTGTTGTATGCCAAACTCTAGGAGCTCAGACCACGTGAGTTCTCCCCCATGGTTTCCTTGTGGTGTTGCCCTTTGTGGTGCCAGTCTTTGCTGGATTTGTCACATTTTTGTGCTTCGGATGTCCCATAAGTTTCCACTGATAGGAAAAATAAATGTATTAACAGCATCATTACAAGCATAATTCCAACTATGCTTTTTTTATTTTTTATTAGTGTTTAGAAAAAAAAAAATCATTAGCTGGACATCGGGAAACTATTTTGGTGATGGTGAAATATCAAAAACTAGTCTGGTTCAGCATGTGGTGAGACATAATTCAGTTGAGAACACTATACTTCGGAAAACATTAATGGGTGGGGCGGGGGGAGGGGGGGGGGTTGAAGAAGAGGGGGCTCTATGATGGCAACATCAAGAAATGGATAGGACTTAATTATTATGCATCTGTTCAACAAAGAAAGAAGGCAGGTTTTGTGCACTTGTCCTTCCATTGATACATCTCCACGACCCTAGCGGGTCAAGGGTTATATTTATATGTTATATGCCTTCTTCAGCAGTGGAGGATACACATTAAAATGTGTTTTCAAAACAATGGTACTCCTGTGTGGATTCTGAGGTCCTACTGTGGGGAGAACCCACTGCCTTCCCAACAAGCATATCCTAGGAATCAAACTATTTAGTGGGTATCCTTCGAAGTCAGAGTACATCTGCCTGAGAGGCAAGGAACTAACAGTCTGCATACATTTCACTACTTCAGCATGTATGTACAAAAGAATTTAATTTTCAAGCATAGGTAGAATGACATACTTTCTTTGTGTACCTACATCTCTTTTAAGTCGTCCCCATGTGGGGGTGCAGTTTTTTGTTTTTTGAAGTCCCGCCCTGGCTTCTGCTGGGGCCCTGAATATATCCGGGGCATAAATGTGGCCTAGCTATAGATATGGCCTAACGGCTGCAAGGGGTTTCTGGGATTCTCCACAGTGATCATCTGCATGGTGGCACTTTGTGTCACCAGGTGTTTATCACTTAGTGTGATGTCCTGCTGTTGTACAACTACCTACTTACCTACCTACCTACATCTCTTCCCAGTGAGGCATTTTTTTTTTCTACTACAAATTGAATAAGTTAAGTAAAGTGCCCTTTTCAGGCCTTCAAGTTGGGCAAATAGACCTATATTGTATAGATCAACTAGCACTTGCTAGATGATGTGGTCAGCACCCGGCTGACAGCCTTTACTTCCCAGGACTCCACCTAGTACCAACTCAAAGCTGGGTCGACCTGGGGAATTAGATGTATGCAATGATTTAATATTCTACAAAAATTGAAATAGATGTGACTTTTCTGCCACACCTAAATCATCTCCCAGCCACACCTAAACCATCTCCCAGCCAGACCTAAACCATCTCCCAGCCACACCTAAATAATCTCTCTGCCACACCTAAACCATCTCCCTGCCACACCTAAATCATCTCCCAGCCACACCTAAATCATCTCCCTGCCACACCTAAACCATCTCCCTGCCACACCTAAATCATCTCCCTGCCACACCTAAATCATCTCCCTGCCACACCTAAATCATCTCCCTGCCACACCTAAATCATATCCCTGCCACACCTAAATCATCTCTCTGCCATCGAATCCCTGGTAAGATGACCACATCACCAACAGAGTGCTGATTGGTCTATACAAATATGAGGCTGGCATCATATCCTTGATGTGACACTGACATAAACAGGGCTGTTTACTTACCTACATACTTAACTCTTTTAGTTTCAAGCAACATGTCATGTGTGATTGCTTCTTCGCCCTGAATCCCATCCATCACATAATGAGTTGTCTTGTTTTACCATTTGATCAGAGCATACTAGAGAAATCTGGCTTTCACAGAGGCCAGTTTGGATTGATTCTTGTTGAAAGTAACACTTGTGATATTTCATAGTAAAAGTAAAGTAAAGAAAAGGACCTTTTTCCACGCCTTCAGGCGTTTTGGGCATATAGGGCTAGACCTGTATTTTATAGACCAACCACAATTAGTGAATGATGTAGTCAGTATCATGTCAGCTGTCTTTACTTCCTAGGACTTTACCTGGTACCCACTTAAGGCTGGATCGACTTGGGAATGAGAGGTCATTTTTGAACAAAGCCCAGCCCCATCAGGAGATAGATATATAATAGCAGTTATATTATTCCTTAGGCATTTGCAAAGACCTTCTGGGACTCAGCAAGTTAAATTGAAATGGAAATCGGATAGATTGTAGAAGTGAGGATGTGCAAGAGAAACTCAGTGATGAAGTTTGGTGAGACTGAGGATAGACTTACTAGACTAGACTTCATATAAAAGTTTGGTGAGACTGAGGATAGACTTACTAGACTAGACTTCATATAAAAGTTTGGTGAGACTGAGGATAGACTTACTAGACTAGACTTCATATAAAAGTTTGGTGAGACTGAGGATAGACTTACTAGACTAGACTTCATATAAAAGTTTGGTGAGAGTGGGGATAGACTTACTAGACTAGACTTCATATAAAAGTTTGGTGAGAGTGGGGATAGACTTACTAGGCTTGACTTCATATACAATGTTAAAAAAAAATTGCACAAGATGAAAAGTGATGGAACAATTGACTGCGGACCCTATGTCATGTGTAACGGCAAAAAAAAAAATATATTTTAGTTTTAATCTGGCAATGCTGGGATGGTGATTTGAACTGAAAAGTCTGTGATCCTCATGCTTCCAAGTGCTTCACAAAGTTGTTTACGTGTGCTTTACTGGTTCGTTAATTGAATATCCTGTAAAATTGTGTTGTGTATAAAATATAACTTGTGATTTTGTTTATAAAACATTAATTTATTTTATCCGAGCCACCCATTAAGAATGTAACTTTTGTGTTCTGATGCTTAGGCTCTCATTTCTTGGGAATTTCAAATCAACAGCTGAAATTATCTGGCCATTCATAATTAGAATTGAATCTGCACATGTAAAACTTCAATATCTGCTTTTGTATATGCCTTTTTTAAGAAAATGGTTGCACTTTAGTTGTAGATTTCTAGATATATGGTGGTTTGGTTGCAGCATTCTATAGCCAGACATATTCTTCTTCTTCTTCTTCTTCTTCTTCTTCTTCTTCTTCTTCTTCTTCACACTCACCCATGGTAAGTCCTGGTTGTTTATTCACTGTTGGACTTTTAATCTTGTTCCCGTTTTGTGTGCACATCCATTTTACAGACCTAGCTTATTTGTATGGAGATCATTGATTGGTTCTTCGCCTCTCAGGCAGATGAACTGCAACTTCACAGAAAACGTCAGTCCTGTCTATTTTGGCCAGGAGCCCGGTTGGCAACCTCTGATTCCAGAGAGCTGTAGAAATGCCTTGACCAGTATGAGCCTTGGTCTTGATGCAGCACCTGGTGTAGTTCAGCACTTCTGCATCCCAGACGTGTTCGGCTGTTTAGTTCAGGTTCTCCACAAATGTGGATCATTTGCCTCCAGTAAAATCAGTTCAGTGACTTTGACAGTTTGTTCATTTACAGAATTTCGATGGCTCATATTTTCATTCCCGTGTTTCATGTCTGCGGAATTACCCGTGAAAGTTTTCAGAAACAGCATTTCAATGGTTCTGTACATATCTTGTAGTGTAATATTTGCCTGTTTGTGTTGTAAATATAAAAATATTTAGATGTAAAACAAAAAAAAACAGCTAACTCTGATGGTAATACAGATGATGATGATAAATAGTTATGTTGTTTTGACAGAAATCTCACACAATATGAGACAAACTTACTGTGTCCTGCAGTTGATGATTATGATGATGCAGAAGAAGGGCAAGACATGGTAATAATCAAAAAGCTCCGGTATCATCGGCCTGAGAATTTTTCACTGGTCACTGAAGATGGGGAT